GTGCCTGGCGAAAGCCGTACTTATCTCAGTTTTGATTCGATGTCTTCTGCAACAGAAAATTCTGAAAATTTAGATGTGCTTTATCCAATAGAATTTCTAAACCAACTTGATTTACCTGGTTTGCCGCAGCACAAGTTGGCTTTAGAAGTTGGTGCCCTGGTGATGTTAATCAGAAATTTAAATCAAAGCGGGGGGTTGTGTAATGGAATGCGATTGGTTGTAACGCAATTGAGCCACATAGTTGTGCAAGCAAAAATCATGATGGGAAGCAACATTGGTGAAATAGTATATATCCCCTGGATCATTATTGAATCATCGCAACATAAATATCCCTTCACTCTACGACGACGACAATTCCCTGTAAAAATTTGTTATGCAATGACAATCAACAAAAGTCAAGGACAATCCTTGAGAATTGTCGACCTGTTTCTATCACAAGTTGTTTTTTCTCATGAACAACTATATGTTGCGTTGTCCAGGGTCACCTCAAAAAAGAGGTCTCAAAATTGTTATTGCTCACGATGCTGACATGCGTCATGGTTATACAAAAAACATCGTTTATAAAGATGTTTTGAAACATTTGCATAACGGTATGCATTTATATTAACGTTATGTGCTTTTATTTATTTTTTGAAATATGGCTGTGCTATTCTTTAATGAATTACCTTATTCAATGTTGAATTTAATTTGCTTTTAAATTTTATTTTCTCTAGATTGATGGAGCTGATGCCGATTCGTCTTCTGAAGCCCTACCAACCAGGGAGCAAACTCCAAATCAGAGTTTGCAGGATGTGGGTCACAAAAAGCATCGGAGATGATCCTCAACCAACAAGTCTTGATTGTGTCATTGTTGATAAACAGGTCCGATTCTTACACCTTTTTGACAAATCGTTGAATTTTCTGTTGTTAACCAACCTTGATTACAATATGCAACAATTTGAATGAAATATACATCGGCTTGATTGATTATGTTGTTGTACTCTCGAGCTAAAAAGACTACGAAACCAACTAACCACCCTACCCCATGCCAAGGCTCTACCATTTGACATGAGAATCACTGTTGATCAAATAGGACTGGCCCGGTTACTAAGCAAAGTCTTGGGTGGAACAATTATTACTCTATATATATAACAAGAATTAAACTTTACTTCACTTAGAATAAAAATTAAAAACGAACTTAGACTAAAAGTAAGTGTTTCAATCTCACTCCCCACAAACGATGTTAATGTGAATGTGCAATTCACCATGTCCATTTGTTCTAACATTTAAAATCATCTATGGATATTAACTTAAAAAGAATGAAAATTTTTATTGACTCAAAAATTAAAAACCTAAAATTCTATTTCCCACCCCCAAACTTAAATCGCACATTGCCCTCAAGGGGTGAAAAATTAAATAAAAGTAAAATAAAAATAACTAATTAAAACTATAAAAAGATAAAGATAAAAACAGAAAGCAAATAAAAGAGCTACCTAGAAAAAATATAAATAGAAAGCATGCATAAATAAAACAGAAAAAATAAGCAAACAACAAGCAGCAAACAAAGATAAAAAGAGAAGCAGTAGCTTCAGCTTTTTGCCACTTTTCAGCTTAAAATGACAATGGCTTTGAAAATAAGCAGAGTTACCAAACACAAATTTTACTTCAGCTTTTTTTCATCCTTGCTTTTTTTTCTTTAATCACTTCAATGTCAAATCAGACCTTAAACGTCCATAAACGTCCCCACGCAAATTTATATTGAAAATGACTTGCACATAATTTCGAGGTAATAAAATAAAATTGTCAAAGTCACCTGCTGACAAAATTATGCAAAACAAAATATCTTCTTTGTTATGATGTATGAGGTTTTCAATGTCGAAATGTCTAAAGTGATCACTAATGTCAATGTCTGCTATAGCATGGAAGAAAATAAACGCATGATTGGACCATAAAATGGAAGCCTGTCAATATCATACTTTGAATCTTCCAAACCCAACTAACTAATTCCTAGTGAATGTTGTTCAATAACTGAATAAGCGATATTCTATCTGTCATAATATAAATAGAGAAATAATATATTTTTTGTGTTTTTCTACTTATTTTATAATCATAAAGTAACTGCTTGAAAACTAGACACTCAACTTGCAAAGTTTAAAGATTAATATAACTACTTATATTATATATAATGCGATGTCTAAACCCCTTTTACATTTTGTTTTTGGTACTAGTTATTGACCTAGAATTGGCCAAGTCAAGGGTTTTATCCCTTGTCATTTTATGAGTTTTCCATGCTCAACTTTATAATTTGTTAAATTTTTATATTTCTTTCAAATTTATTTTTTGCTAGCAATTTTGGAATTAATTTTTGTATAATCTTTTTTTTTTTTTAATGAACATTTTGATGTAAAAAATTGTTTGTAATTTTGAGTTTTTTTATGAATAGGTGAAAAATGAACTGGTATTTATAGAGTTTTGGAGAAGTTTTGGTGTTGGATCTAATTTGGATTAATTAGTAATATTATTTTGACTACTAGATTTGAATTCGAGCCATTAGATCTTTTTTATTACCATTAAAATTGATTAAATTGGATTGAGTCGTTGGATTAAAAAAAGATGCAGCTAGGTGCGAATCATTGGATCATAATCCAAGAGGTGTGACAACCAATGAATGACAACGGCTCGCGCTTCATGCGATGTTGCAACTTGTTGTCCCCCTCAGCCCAATTGCATTTCATATCCATTCGATGTGGATGCAAGATCCAAATATACACTCAAACCCAAATTCCTATTTTTCCCACCTCCTAAATACATCATTTGGAGATAATTTGGACCAAAAACTTAGGTTTTATCCATAAACGTCCCACTCAAATTTATGTCCAAACGACTTGCACTTGCACCACATAATTTTGTGATGGATAGTATTTGGCTGTTAATTGGATTATTACTTAAATGTTTTTTTACAAATGATATTATCTATATTAAGGGGGTGAGAAGTGGACTAATACTAAAGGGGTGGGAAGTGGACTAAGTCTCACAATGAACTAGCAATAATGTGATTCAAATTCGTTTTTGACGAGAATCAAATCTAAAACCTTTCACTTACTAGTGAACCAGAATATCACAGCGATTATTACTTCAGTGTTGATTAACGTGCTTATTTTCTGATAGTGACATCATTTGACTTGCAAATTGGGTTTAAAAATTTGGTCTTTCTAGCATTATCATTTTTAAGTATGGGATATTTAAGCAATACTCTGCATGCCATAATACAAGTGAGGCAAATGATATATTTTTTTGTGTCCTTATTTTATAACACATGGAGTACCGCTTAAATATCGGATCCTCGAAAAGACTTCTCCTAACTAAGAAAGTTCAAAGATTAACATCAAGTACTAATTCTAAGTTGCGCATTTGTCACTTATAGAGAATACACTTGCAAGCGTGGTAGACTAATGATTAAGAGGTGATTTCCTCATTAACTTTTATCTTCCACGTACTCCTTTTTTTTTTGTAGTCTTTTATATATTTAATAAATCAAATCAACAAAGAGAAAACGGCAGTGCGAATATACACTTGTATTTAGGGGTGGTTTGGTTTAGGATGGCGAACAGAAATGGTCTATTAAAAAACTGAACTGAAATTGTTCAGAAAAAGAGGGCAAAAAACCAAAACCAAAACCAAACCAATATTTCGGTTTTCTCGAAATTCGGTAATATCGAAATAGTTTCGGCTTTTCGGTTTGGACTCGAGAATGGGCCTTCAGGTCAAATTTTTTGGGCTTCTAATTTCAAGACCAGCTAAACCCAGTTTTGCCCAAACTTTTTCAACCCCAAATGTTAAGCTATGTGCCTATGCTCATGTGCTCTATTACTCTACATTTCCTGAGCAAAAGTAATTGTGATTATTAGAATTACATCAATTTAATGAAAAAGTTTGTATCTTACTACGATCACATCAATTCAAAAATTTCTATAGAAAGGAAACAAATTGCTGCAATTGCATTAGTACACCATTACAGTACAGACCTCAACAATCCCTAATCTCAATAATCCTCTCAACCATTACACTAAAGGTCTGATCTCAACAATCTTCTAATCTCAAATCAAAATTCGAAGCCCAAATAGGAACTCTAATCCCCATTTCAAAATCCCAAATCAAAATCCTAATTTAAATATGACGAATTAAAGGGAAAATTTCTTACATTGAGCGAGACTTGATTGAGAGAGAGAGAGAGAGAGAGAGAGAGAGAGAGAGAGTCGAAGAGGAGTCGAGAGAGAGACATGTGGTGTTGTGGGTGTGATGTGTTGGAGTTGAGATCAACCGAGAGAGAGAGAGAGAGAGAGAGTCGGCGGAGGTGAAACACAAAGAGAGGTCGAGAGAGAGGGTGGGTGGGGCCAGAGTCGAGATCAGGTGGTTTGGGCTAAAGTGGGCTGAGTCGAGAGAGAAAAATTGGGTTACTTGGGTAAGGAAGAAGAGAAGACGAACTATAGAGGAGAGTCTAGAGAGAAAAACCAAGAGACAAAGAGAGGATTTTCAAAAGAGAGATAGTTGTGGAGGTCATTGTGACGTGGCGTGGGTGGCCGGAGTTAGAGGAGGAGTGCTCGGGGAGCCGAGGTTCAAAGTTGGGAGGAAGAGTCGAGAGAGAGAGAGAGTGATCTGAGCGAGATGTGGTCGAGAGAAAAATGTTGGTTTTGAGTGAACGGTTGAGATAAATCCGATGACTATAAAAAATTAATATTACAAATTAAAACAATATATATAGGTTCGGTCTGGTCTTATTGAACTAATCCATATTTCAAGCCAAATCTCTTACCGAATTTTTCGATTTCAGTTCAGCTTCAGTACCAAATTTTTGGTATTGTCCATTCGGTTCAGTTCAGTTTCGATAGGTTTGGTATTTTATGCCAGCCCTGGTTGTAACATCAAAGATTCAGCGGCTATCTTTCCTTCTCTCTCCCTTTTCTTTTTGGTCATGTGCCTACAAACTTACATTAAAAAAAAAAAAAAAAAAAACTATGTGGTAAACAATTGAAACCGCAGTATTTAATAATAATTCCCAATGAAAACTAGTAACAAACACAACCCCAGGCAGATGGAAGCTCTCATAGCAACCAACAAAATGCCAGAGAACCGTTTGAGACCAAAACTTTCGCTGCTCAGAAAGACCCAGTAGCAGTTTGACAGGCTCGCCCTTGTTACTCATGCTAAAATCTAAACTGGCGATATCAGATGCAACACGGAACACGGAAGAGTTCGCAATTCCCCAAGACAGCAGTCACCAGCAGGAATGAGAAAAGCTGAAAAGATATAACCATCAAAACGATTTCTTCTCGTAAGAAACCAGACCATCAATAGTAAATACTAAATAGCACTCCTCTCTTATTCTCAATTTACCTGCAAATATAATAGATTACATATATGATATATTTAAACAAGAAGATCTGACTTCTGTGCCTACTCAAACAATGTCAAACGCAATTTAAATCTTAATGAGTTGTTCAAGCGTGATGTCTGGTCCTCTAGTGGAAGCTGCAGTTTGAAATGATAATGATTGAGAAACCATGTGCATTGTTGGCCTCGATTGCGGTCGCGAGTGCCTGCATGCAATTGCTACCTTTGCAATGGTTGTCAGTTCATCTTCAACTTCAGGTGTAGGAGGTGAAAGTCGTTGGTCCAATACATCCTTCAGCAATTTGTTTTCACAATCGGATGGAGACGAAATGGACGAAATTAAATCGCCTAGTCGCTTTCCCATGATGACCTCCAATGCCAGCACTCCGAAGCTATAAACGTCACATTTCTCAGTTACCTTCCTTGTGTAGGCCAACTCTGGATAAAAATTAAGGGAAATCAAGCCATTAGCATATGTTTAACTTTATATCACTAGATTCAACATTATATATTTTAACTGTTTTACTTTACCTGGTGCTATATATCCGTATGTGCCTGCAAGGCAGCTCCAATTTGATGAGTCTGGATTCAAAAGCTTAGCAGTGCCAAAGTCTGAAACACAAGGCTCGTAGTCGTAATCCAGCAAAATGTTGCTGCTTGATATGTCTCGATGTACAATTGGCGGTACACAATCATGATGCAGGTAAGACAGTGCGTGAGCTACGCCTTTTACAATTGTCACCCTCCTACTCCAATCCAATTCTTTTGCCTCGTCTTCTTTGCTCAAGATTGAAGCCAGACTACCCTTTTCTAGATATTCATAGACCAGAAAGGAATGCTGTGAATTTGAGCAAAAGCCACAAAATTTCACAATGTTTCGATGTCGTATATTGATTAGTGCACTTATTTCATTGTGGAACTCCTGCGATGTCTCCTCGCCGTCAAGTTTTTTATGGAGTTTCTTCACTGCAACCATGCTGCCTGATGGTAGCTTTGCCTTGTAGACACTTCCAGATCCTCCCTTCCCAATGCAAAATATGGAGTCAAAAGCATTGGTTGCTCTTATGATCTCCCAATACATTTTTTTCCCATCAAAAAGAGAGATTGAAAAAACTTCATCATGGATATCTCTCTTTTTTGTTTCCCGCTCTTTCTTTCTTCTTGTTTTGATGAAGAAAATTGCAAGGAAAGCAAGTAAAACTGCTCCCAAGAAAGGGAAAACGATTGCAAACACGAGTTTTCTGTTGTTTTTTCTTTTTGAGACGTGCTTATTGCAGGATTCTAGACCTCCAACATTTCCACACAATCCTTCGTTCCCTTCAAAGCTGTGAGCATCTTGAAACGCTTGGTTGTTGGGGATGGGACCTTGCAAGCGATTGTAGGATACGTCTATGTACAACAAGCCTCGCATTCCATCAAACGTTGCTGGAATGAGACCGGAAAGATTATTGTGGGAAAGATTCAGCCGCTCCAAGCTCTGCATATTGCTAATTTCTGATGGTATCTTGCCGTCAAGTGAGTTGTGACTCAAATCTAACTGTGACAGGTGAAATAACTTGCCCAACTGAGATGGAATTTCTTGACTGAATTTGTTGTTGCTCAAATCCAAGTAGTTTAAATGGACCAATTCGCCAAAAATGCTTGGAATTGAGCCATTCAACTTGTTGGTGGATAGGTCAAGATATTCGAGTTGACTGAATGCTCCAAATTCTGAGGGTACAAAACCAAAAAGTTGATTGCCATTCAACTTTAGATTCACCATAGAAGTCAATCTCCCCAAATTCTTGGGAACCACCCCAACTAGATGATTCGAAGAAAAATCGAGTTCTTGAATTTTAGTTGCATTGACAATCTCAGATGGTATGCTCCCAGTAAGGTTGTTGCCCGCAATCCGTAGAGTTGTTAAATTTGGACACTGTCCCCAGATGCCTGAGATTTCGCCAGATAAGTTGTTGTAACTTAGGTCTACAAACTGAAGATTCGGATAGACACCAAAGTCTTCAGATATATTATTGCTTGTAAATTGGTTCCGTTGGAGACTGACTCTGACTAAGCTCTTGCAACCTTTCAAGCTTTTCGGGATTGGACCTGTAAATTCGTTCTCTTGTGCAGTTAACCTTTGTAGGAGTCCACCTCTACAAATATCTCGAGGCAAATAACCAGAAAATCGGTTAGTAGCCAAGACAAGTATGGTCAACTTCATTAGATTCTCCATCTCTTGGGGGATTGATCCAGATAGCTGGTTGCCGCGGAGATATAAGTTTTCTAGGCTGCTCAAGTTGCCGAATGAAGAGGGAACGGTTCCGTTGAGCTGATTGTGGGTTAGGTCTAGACTCACAAGAAATTTCAAGTTTCCAATCTCTTCAGGAATAGTGCCAGAAAGATTATTACCGTAGAGAGAGAGAGAAACAAGCTTTGTCAAATTGCTCAAAGAAGTTGGGATCGAACCAGAAAGGGTATTGTTGTGCAAGGACATCCGGGTTAGATTTTTCAAGTTTCCGAAACTCCGAGGGATTGGGCCTGATAAATAGTTGTCATACATGTAAAGTTCACCTAATTTCGAAAGGTTTCCTATTTCGGGAGGAATAGAACCCGAAAGTTGGTTTCCAAAGAGAAACAAAGAAATCAATTGGCTCAAATTACCCACAGAAGCTGGAATTGAACCCTCTAAATTGTTTAAGTCTAGAGCTAGCTCATAGAGAAATTTAAATTGGCCTATTTCTTGAGGAATGGAGCCATTGAACTTATTTTCATTTAGGTGAAGGACCTGAAGGTTTGTTAAAAGACCGATTTCAGGTGGGATTTTTCCAGACATTTGATTGTAGGATACATCAAAATAGATGAGTTTGGTGAGGGAACTGATCTCAGGTGGGATTTGATCAAAAAGTTTATTGTAGCTGAGGTCAACATATGCAAGATTAGGCAAGGACATGAATGGAAATTCAAGTAGAGTACCTTGTATACCAGAATTGATGAGGTCTAATCTGTTGACACTTCCAGCTGAGTTGCATGAAACACCAGTCCAAGTATTGCATGGGGCTTCATTTGCATTCATCCACGAGGTCAGGTTGTTTTGGGTTTGGCTTTGAAAGCTAGCTTTCCATTTGAGAAGTGCTTCTGCTTCAGTGGAATTGGTAGAAGCAAAAGCAATTTTTTGTGATGAATTTAGCTGAAGAGACAAGATGAGGCAAGCTAGAAAGCATGCTTTATCACAATAAGCTGAAAATTTCATCGTGGTTTTTGTGTATATCTTTTTTTAAGCAACTCAGGGCTTTACTTATAGTGAGATGCATTATTAATCTGCATATCCTCTATTTGTTTTTGTTATCTTGACTTTTGATACAAATGCCATATTAAAATAGAAATTGGATTTTTTACACTTTCATGGTCTTTGTATTTTGTTACACTAGTATGGTCTTTGTCCGTAAATTTTTTTACACTTTTATGGTCTTTGTCTGGGAAGACTTAGAATTTTTTTACACTTTTATGGTATTTGTCTATGAAGACTTTGAATGAAGACTTTGAATATTGTTACACTTTTATGGTTTTTGTCTGTGAATATTTTTAATATTGTTGCACTTTTATGGTCTTTGTCTGATAAGTCTAAATTTTGTTACTGTGTTGAAGTCTTTGTCTCTTTAAAATAGAAATCGGAAAGTTTGCAGTGTGAACTTATATTCATATTCCTAATAAAGGCTCCGTGAGTAGTGTTGGAACTAAATTTGTGCACTGCCGTAATAGTGGAGACACAAACTCAAGCTATTTGCAAAATTGAGAATAATCGTGAGCAAACCTAAGATTGGAGTGGAGGGGTGTGTGCTGGCAAAAAGCTCTCTGACGATCAAGTCAGTAAGCAGTTTTAGACTCAAGCTGTCTTTGCTTCCCTCTTTTCTTTTTGGTCATGTAAAGGTATAAATCGATATTAAAAAAGAAAAAAGAAAAAAAGAAGAGAATAAAAAAAATAGAAATATGTGGTAAATAATTGAAACTGTATTATTTTATAATCTAGACTACTTATTAACAAAATTTTCTTTGTCAACTAAAAAATAGTGAAAAAAATAATTTGGTTCTTTATTTACAATTCAATAAAAATATCACAAATAAAATCCTGAGCAGAGGTATAAACTGGGGAAAAAAATTGTTGGTTTTTCTTCCCTTATCCAAATGTTACCATAGTTTTACTCTTTTACTTTCTCTCTCGCACTTCCTACTTTTTACCCTTTTTATTTTATTTTTCATTCAATTAAAACTATTTAATTTTTTTTAAAACACAGATAGTATGTGACTTTTATCATGAAAGGAACTATGTGACTTTTATCACAAAAGAACTTACACCACATATCTAAACCCATTTTATCTAGCCAATTTTTATTATAGAAAACTAGATTTTAATTCTTAAATAAGATGAAATTTAGAAAAATGTCTTATACAAGATTAAAATTTGATTTCAGTCCCTAGACTCTATTTAATGCCACCATATGTATTCGATGTCTCTTTTTTTATTTATAATTTTATGAATTTAAATTTTATGAAATTATTATAAAGTTTACTTCTCATTATGGTAAGCATCTTATATAAGAAAATATTGTTGTAGAAATTTTTTGGTACACTTATGTTTTTGCATATTTTCTTATCAGCCACTAATTCATTACAATATATTTTAGGTACGAATATTTCGATACACTGAATTAGTATAATATGTTTAGGTATGGACATTTCGGTACACTAGTTTAGTATAATATATTTAGGTACCGACATTTCGGTACACTAGTTTAGTATCATATAGTTAGGTACGAAATTTTTGGTACACTTATGTTTTTACATATTTTCTTATGTGTCACTAATTCATTACAATATATTTAGGTACGGACTTTCGGTACACTAATTTAGTAAAATATATTATGATACAGACGTTTAGGTACACTAATTAAAGAAAGTTAAATAAAATTAATGAATTAAAATGTGTATAATAATAAATTTAAAAATTGATGTAATAACATTAAATAAGTTATCTATTAAATATAAAAACAGAAATATAATATGAATTTGAATTAAGTACACATTAAGGGACTAAAATCAATATTCAATCTAACACCAGGTTTTTATTAAATTTTAATCTTCTTAAAGGATTAAAGTTCAAAAACCCCATTTTTACTAAATTAGTATACCTAAATGTTCGTACCTAAATATATTGTTGTGAAGTAGTGACACATAAGAAAATATGTAAAAACATAAGTGTACCAAAAATTCCATACCTAACTATATGATATTAAACTAGTGTACCGAAATGCCGGTACCTAAATATATTATACTAAACTAGTGTACCGAAAATTCTGTACCTGAGCATACTATATTAATCCAGTGTATTGAAATGTTCGTACCTAAAATATATTGTAATGAATTAGTGGCAGATAAGAAATTATGCAAAAACATAAGTGTACCGAAAAATTTCTACGAAAATATTTTCTTATATAAGATGCTTACCATAATGAGAATTAAAATTTATAATATTTTCATAAAATTTAAATTCATAAATTATGAAAAAAAAAAAAAAAAAGAGACATTGAATACATATGGTGGCATTAAATAGAATCTAGGGACTAAAATCAATTTTTAATCTTGTTTAAGACATTTTTCTAAATTTCATCTTATTTAGGGATTAAAATCTAGTTTTCTATAAAATATATTATGATACAGGCGTTTAGGTACACTAATTAGAGAAAGTTAAATGAAATTAATGAATTAAAATGTGTATAATAATAAATTTAAAATTTAATGTAATAACATTAAATAAATTATCTACTAAATATAAAAATAAAAATATAATATGAATTTGAATTAAGTACACATTAAAGGACTAAAATCAATATTCAATCTAACACCAGCTTTTTATTAAATTTTAATCTTCTTGAAGGATTAAAGTTCAAAAACCACTTTTTATTAATACTTATTTGACATGGAACCGATTATTGCATGTTATTGTTAGTTCAAGGCAATATGTAAAGCAGAGGGGGTGTTGAGGGGGAGCGAAAGGTGTAGTCACACAGGACCTTGAATTTGAAGGGGCCCTCAAAACTTTTGTCATCTAATCTAATATTTATATGTAATAATGTTCTATATTTAAAAATTGCTTTTGTTATGTAATAATGTTCTATACTTAAAAATAATTTTTGTTAGCATCTTAAATTTCATTGTGCACTCCTTATAAGCGTATTTTTTTTTCCTTTCTAACACCTTAAAAATGGTATTCTTTTTTCAATTTTAGTATATAATAATGTTATATATTCAAGTGAAACTTTAAAGTTGGAAATTTTTAAGTTTTTTTTTCTTGTTTGGTTGTTCAAGATTGAAATGCTTTTGATTATTTAGTGAACGTTATATTTGTAGCTCTTTTTACTTATTATTAATGACATTTTTAAACTTGCAATCAGTGAGTGCTAAACTTTATTTTGATTTAAGTGATCATTTTCTAGCATCAATACATTGTTCTACCTTTTTTAAAACTATCTTAAGGAAGGGCCCTTTCATAAATTTCATACAGGGCCTCCAAAATCTCAGAGACAGCCTTGATGTAAAGATATCAAAATGCAAATTTATGAAAATATCGATAGATATATTGATATCGGTTGTTTTTTATGGAAATTATGAAATTTTGAAATGAAGCTTTAAGGAATGTCAAACACTGGTTTAGAGGAAATACAAGAATTTCTCTGATGTTTACCCGATATGAGAACAATATCGATGAAATTTGAGTATTTTAGCTAAAATTCAAGAGTTTCTCCGATATGGGATGAAGGTTAGACTTCACTCTCATTTCGATGTCTTTCTCTAATTTTACGAATATTTTTACAAAAATATGAATATTATTGAAGAAATTTCAAACGTTGATTCAAGGTTCATGCATGGCCATTAAGTCATCTATGTTTTGATTTAAGTGATTATTTTCTAGCATCAATACATTGTCCTACATTTTTTAAAACTATCTTAAGGAAGGGCCCTTTCATAAATTTCATACAGGGCCTCCAAAATCTCAGAGACAACCTTGATGTAAAGATATCAAAATGCAAATTTATGAAAATATCGATAGATATATTGATATCGGTTGTTTTTTATGGAAATTATGAAATTTGAAATGAAGCTTTAAGGAATGTCAAACACTAGTTTAGAGGAAATACAAGAATTTCTCTGATGTTTACCCAATATGAGAACAATATCGATGAAATTTGAGTATTTTAGCTAAAATTCAAGAGTTTCTCCGATATGAGATGAAGGTTAGACTTCACTCTCATTTCGATGTCTTTCTCTAATTTTACGAATATTTTTACAAAAATATGAATCTTATTGAAGAAATTTCAAACGTTGATTCAAGGTTCATGCATGGCCATTAAGTCATCTATGAACACCCCCCTCAAATTTATGTCCAAACGACTTTGCACTTGCACCACATAATTTCGAATAACAAAATTGTCAAAATCACATATTGATGAATTGATGGAAATTTCTTCTTGTTATTATGGTTGAGATTTTCAATGTCAAAATGTCCAACATGGAATTAAGCATGGAAGAAAATAAAACTAAAGTCTGCAAATTGGACCGAAAATTAGAAGCCTGTCAATGTCATACTTTGAATTCTCAAAGCTTAGGGGATGCGATACAAGCTTTTGCATATTTTTTTCACTTTTTTCGTAATTCTAAATTAATTATTATAATTTTTTTAATGTGTTTAAAATTTTAAATTATTTTGATATTTTTATTTTTTTTAATGTTATAATATTTTGATTCTCATTTTTAAGAGAATAAAACATTTAGGATTTTTATCACAAATGGTCCCTAAAATTGAAAATCAATCAATGTAGTCCTTGAAAATAGGTGTCACAAATCAATGTGGTCTTTCCGTCACAATTTTGTTTAAAATTCCGTTAAGTGCTGATGCGACACATAAATGGGCCCACAAGATTTACAGGTTTTTATCACAAGTGGTCCCTGAAATTGATCCATATCATCAAGATGGTTCCTAGAATTGAAAATCAATGAATTTAGTCCTTGAAAATAGGAACTCATCATGAAGCTAGCATAACAAGGGAAAATTAAACTCGACCTTGAAGACATGGCCGCAACACACACTACTATGATTGTGTTTGGACCCTTTGATGTCGTGCCTTTCCAAGTGATGCATGACCACTCCTGTCATTGCTCAAGCCACACGGAACCTTCTGTACAACCATTGCTGGGGGCAAGCAACTAAAATGCGCCCACCGATGATGAAGAGGGGTGGACATTTGTGACCTATAAAAAGACAAGGAAGCCAAGACCACAAGCCACACGGTGGAGCAAGGGAGAAAGCACCGGCACCGCAACAATAGGAAGCCCAAAAGAAATATAAGAGCTGTTAAGCGAACGTATGTAGAGGAACTTATGAAGCAAAAGCCACACATTCCCGCCTCTTTGCACGAGTACTACCTGAAGGACTTCTTCTAACAGTGCACTACCGCTGCCTGTCACATGGTTGAAGTGGAGATAGAGGAGCCCTTAAAAGGCAAAGTTATCGCTGTCGAGGAAGAGAAGACCCTCACGCCCGAAGAAGACCTGCCAACATACTTTAGCATTGAAAAAGCACTACGATTGCCCAAAGAGATGCGAAAAGCACTAATAGTGGTCTTGGCGAGCCCCGACGACCACAAAGTGCAAGAAAGCAAGGATGAAGGCTTGAAACATCAGCCACATGTTGTGCCACCCATGATGCAATCAACTTCATCGACGAAGACTTGATGCTTAGATCAAAGCCTCACAACTGTTCTCTCTTCGTCTCTAGGTACGTAAGAGAGCACAAAATCAACCGCATGCTTGTGGATGATGGATCGGCCATAAATATCATGCCAAAGTCGACAATGACTACAATCGGCATCAAAGTGGATGAACTATCCCGAAGCCATCTTCTA